ACGTACGTACGTACGTACGTACGTAAATACTCAATTGATATCACATGTAGTTTTTGTTCACAACACACCCAACGTGATATGCATTATTAAGTATTTATAGGTATATATATATATATATATAATATATATATTTAATCTAGATAAATTATACTTATAAATTATAAATTACGTATTAATTATTACACCTAAACCATTTAAAGATGTATTATCAAGAAATCTTTACCTTAAATAAATTTAATTAATTTACATGAATACGAGACAGAGTCTACCTTAAACCTATAAAATCTCTAACAAATTAATAAATAATTTTTTTCATAATAACTAATAATTTAATACGAAATATTATTACGGTAATAATTATAGTAATTCCCGTACGTACGTATTACCATAATGTAATTATTCCAGTAAAAAAAAAAATATTAAGAAAATCCCAGAAAATCAGCAAATAATAATATAAATATTTTGCCGTATTTTCACGTTTAAAATATTAAATGACAAACAAATTGCGTCAATAAAACTACAAATTCACATGGGGGACTTGTAAAAGAAATATACTGTAGTTGACGTTACCGTAGTAACTATTCTTTTATCATACATTATTGATAGTTAACTGTAATATATAAAATTTCTTAATTTAGAAAGATTATTTTATCACAAACAAAAAAAAACCATACATACATACGTACGTACATACGTACGTACGTAAAAATTTTTTTTAAATGATGTACTCGTGTTGAACTAAATAGTAAATAATTTCACTAGATTGGTTCGAAAAAAAGGTTTACCTATAAACGGAAAATCTCAATATAAACTAATTTGTTTAGCGTGCATTTAGAATTTCATATTTGATTGGGACCACGGCGATTTTGGTTACGGTACTAACCGCACGGGGTACGTAGCAAATGTATTGGAATGTGATGATTAATTGTAAGAAACCAATAATGTGATTTTAATCACGTTCTTCTGTAAATTTTTTCAAGCATATTTTGCTAAACAATTGAAGAGAGTAAATGCAAGCATTAAATATGAATTGTTAAGAGAGTAAACGCAAACATTAAATACGTACGTACGTACTATTCGTTTAGTTTAGAAACATATATATATGCAAACCGGATCTGGATAAACCGTCTAAACCGAAACTATAAACCTTATTTAAACTATTTGGGATGTGATGAATAGTAACACAATGTTTTGGCAATAACAATGAATTTGGGAAATCCAAAAATAGATTGGGTAGCATCGTTATTATTGAGATATAAATAAATGAATTAAACCCAAAAAAAGTAGCATGAAATTTAACATAAATCACATTTTTAAGATTTGATCTAAATTTAAATCAAGAATATCGAGAATATCCAATATGGCTATTTAAATCAAAGATATGTATGGCACGTGGTGTATCCGTATTGTTCTACAAATCACCAAGTTATTTATCGACATTGGAATATATCGATGGGAATTAAATAATACACTATTCTTGGCGATCGAAATCTAAATTATAACATCTCGTTGTACGTAATATGGAAATATTAAGTATATATTGAGAAATGTACACAAAGAAAAAAAAGAACAATACTGAAAGTAAGCTTACATAGAATCCCATTGCATTATAATGTTAGATAAAGTTATTGGCAAGCATATACGTACTAATATATACGTACGTACTAAGAAAATATAGGATTTATACCGGTATTTTCAGAAAAATATTTACGTATGTACGTACGTACGTACGTACGTACGTATGTAACGTATTATATTTTCAGAATTTAAAAACATTTATATTCCCGGAATTTTTATATTTATATTCTCAGAATTAGCAGAATTACCGTATATCGGAAATTTAAATGCAATTGTTGCGTGATCCAATAAATAGTCTGCATAAGATGAATAAGATGATTAGCATTTACAAACGATGCATTGATTCAATCAGCTCCTAAATGCTTTTTAGGAAGTTTTTAGAGCAGAAAAGCTAGAAAGTCTACTGACTACTGGCTACGTGAGTGCGCATGTAAATGTATGTAACACTCGATTGCATACAGATATTGAACTAACCATTTTTATAACGTTGTTTCATAAAAAACTTTTCGAAACATTTAGATGTCAAAGGTTTTTTATATTTTTGGTATTACGAATCTAAATTTGTTCATATATTTGCACTATATACTATATATTATATATTTACACTATATATTTATTTTATTTATAAATAGTAAGTTTGTAACAAGTATTATAAGCGGTACAGTACGTACGTTCGGTATTCAAGTACCAGTTCAGTAATCTACATGTAACAAAACGTAAAAAAACGCACTTAATAATGGATATGTTTATAGTGTACATATATTAAATAAATAAATAATTAAGTAAAATATATACTGTATATATTTATTTATGTATAAAAATAATAAATATATATAATAAAAATAATAAATATAATAAATATTACACTTATTTTTAGTTGATATATAATTTAAGATTAGTTTCGGTGAATAGTGAATCACTATAAAAAGACATTCCTCTCCTTCGACTCCTTTCGCCTCTAGTTGAAATTTTTTTTCAATTTGAGCTAGTTTTAACTACATGTAATTTTTTGGTTTTCTTTTTTTTTCTTTTTTTTTCTTTTGAGATATAAAAAAAAAATTTCTTAAATTTCGAAAAAACGTTAATCTTTTGACAAGAGACCCGTTTTAATATTAAAAAAAATAAAATAAAATCCAATTAATTCAATTAATCCAATTAATCCAATTAATCCAATTAAGAACTATGTACAATAAAAATTTGTTAAAAATATACATTACGTTGATTACATTAGTGGTATCTATCACAACCATCGATGCAGCTTTATCACCTTCAACAGGATTGAACGGAAGCTTCCCAGCAACTTTTCCTGAACTTGATAAAGTACCACCATCAGTCGCCGCTTGGACTGCTATGGTCGATAAATCAAAATATCCTAATATCCCACCTAATTCTGTTGGATACTCATGTACTCCGGGCACTGTTGACACTTATTGTTCTTTCGTTTGCACGAGCTGTTCCAGACCTGAAACTGATATAACTTACTGTCCGAAACTCAAAGGTAAAAAAAAAAGGCGTATTTGGATCGATAAATGAATTTGAATTTGGATAAATAATTGAACCATTTTATTAATTCAAAAAATTTTCAATAATTTTCAAAAAGATTGGGGTTTAACATATGATGACGGTCCTTCGTAAGTATTTTAAAAATATTTTAAAAATATTTTAAAAGTATTTTAAAAGTATTTTAAAAATATTTTAAAAGTATTTTAAAAGTATTTTAAAAATATTTTAAAAGTATTTTAAAAGTATTTTAAAAGTATTTTAAAAGTATTTTAAAAGTATTTTAAAAGTATTTTAAAAGTATTTTAAAAAGAGAGAAATTCATTACATTCTAACTTTATTAAAATATTTTTTATCAAAATTTTATAGGAACAATACAGTACCAATTCTAGATCACCTTAAAAAAAATAATCAAAAAGCCACATTTTTTGTTATTGGTTCTCGCGTTTTTCAAAATCCAGAAATTCTACAACGAACCGTAGATGAAGGTATATTTATTTAGCAAAAAAAATTTATTTTAATTTATTTATTTTAATTTATTTATTTTAATTAATTATAAAATCTAAAAAATTTTTTTAATGTAGGTCATCAAGTTTGTGTACATACATGGTCGCATACTCCATTAACTACACAAACTGATGAACAAATTATTGCGGAAATGAAATGGACAGAATTGGCAATTCAAAAGGCCGTAAATTTAACACCGAGATGTATGCGTCCTCCAACAGGTGATATAGATGATAGAGTTAGAGGAATTGTAAAACAATTAGGTTATAAAGTTATACTTTGGAATCATGATACCTTTGATTGGAAATCAGCATCAAACACAACAATCCCACCTTATGACTTAAACTGGATTCCTCAAAATTTTACATTATGGGCTAAAAATCAATCGGCAACCACTGGAGTTATATCTCTCGAACATGATTTATACGCCACTTCAGCTTCTAAAGCACCAGAAGCTATGGATATTGTAAAGGCCAATGGCTTTACTGCCTTACAAGTTTCAAACTGTGTTCCAGATTTCAAACCTTACGCAGAAGATGTTACTTTACCTAATCCAGCGTCATCATCATCATCATCATCATCACCTGGTGGTCAAGGTTCCAAATCATCTGCAGAGACACGATTCGCCTTTAATGCTTTGACAATATTTTCATCAATTGCATTTGCTATGGTTACTGGATCTATCATTATGTTTACTTAATTTTTTAGCTGATAATATTTTTGACAATCTTTTTTATCAATATTTTTTGATCATTTGTTTCATTTATCATTTTTCAAAAGAAAACACATTTTCATTTAAATACAAGAGGTTTTAAATGTGTAAAACAAGTAAATGTAATACAAGTAAATGTAATTTTTCTTTTATTTTTTCTTTAGATTCCTTATACAAAATTCTAAGTAATAAATTTTGGTTGGTTTATTTGTATTTAATAATCACATAGCTATAGACACTTTAGTATATAATTATTCCATATTTTTTTTGTGTACATTGCGTTAAAAACATCAGGCCGCAGAAATTTTTTCGTATAAAATTAAATATAAAATTAAATATAAAATTAAATATAAAATTAAATATAAAATTAAATATAAAATTAAATATAAAATTAAAAATTTTTTTTTCTTTCTTTTTTCTTTTCTTTTTTTTTTTTTTTAGGTACAGTCAGTGAAGGAAATCTGGAAACTTTTTTTTGTTTTTTGAGAACATAAATTTTAGAGTTAATGTTCTTATTAATAAAATTTTACTATATTCAAAAAAATATTATGTTCTCAAAATACTATTAATTATATTAAAAATTAAAAAATTTTATGTTCTCGAATTAGCCAGGGCGGCCCCCCCAAAGTACTGCCACATGATGAACACCGCAGCTGCAGCTATATGTTTCTAAACTCTTATAATCGTAAATTGCTTATATATTCCAACAATCGTATATTATCATTTCCTGATTGGCGAAGATTCATCATGTGACAGTACTTTGGGGGGGCCGCCCTGGCTAATTCTATGTTCTCATAATGAGAACATAATTTTTAAATATTATGTTCTCAAAAATAGTTTTAATGTTCTTGAGAACGTTGAGAACATTAGATTTCCAACACTGGGTACAGTACGATTAATTTTGTAAAAAAAAAAAATAAATTTTTTAAGAATAAATTACATATGTACATACATAAGTATGTACCGGTATCGTACTGATTAAAAGATCCCTTTTTTTTACAGAATACCACGCAGGGATTCCATTTAATTATTTTAAAAACCAAGCTGTATGCGCTTGAAATCTTTTTTGACTGCAATAGAGACCAAATATTTTGAATGTTTTGTAAGTTGGTTACCCCGGATCTGTTAATTCTATAATCAGTTAGATACTTGGCCCATATAAAAGTATATCGATATTAATTAATTAATTATCTATGATTATCTATGTAATTAAAAATTTTTTTACGTATAACGATAATGGATGATGTTTTTGTATTATACATAAATGTGCATCATATCTTTACAAATACAAGTGTATTCAAACAAATGATAATGCCCCGAGTCGTTTTGAAAATCCGAGTTTCAAAAAAAAGATGATCGTAGTAGAAGATCTCATTAAAAATCTCTCATAAAAATAATTAAGTGATTTTCAATGATGCCCCTAGGGTGGCTTTTCCTCTTCAAAAGCTATTTACCCTCATTACAGCATTAAAAGCTATTAATAAAACCTCGTGACAAACGTGGCTGGCTTTTGTAAAATAAAGCTTTTCACTCTTTTATCTGTTATTGTTACTGTTACACTGTTACACTTTACGCGTTAGCGTTAGTATATATTTTGTTATTCATTCTTATTTTGTCTTACCCCTGGACTATCTAGATCACAAACTAGATTAAGAAAGAATATGAAAATCGTTTTATGAAATAAAAAACTAACATTCATATTCGTCATACATAATATTGTATTCTACATAATAAATTTCTAATTTGTTGATAATAAAATAAATTTATCGTTATCATCGGTCGATAATACTGTAATAAACACAAAATGCACATATTACAGCTCTGACCACTTATAATTTGCATCGGTAATTTGCCTTTTTTTTTTTTATTTGTTGCATAAAGAACTTTGGCGAAAAATTCAATTATTTTTAATTATTTTCAATATACAGATCTACTGTTACATGAAAGCAATTTCCTAAATATATAATTCATGTGTTACTTTTTTGGTGTGTTATGTTAAACTTTAATTTTTATTTCATATTTGCTACATAACCTATAACCTTCCTTTCTTATTTTTTTCAGTGCAAACTGAAATTAGAATTTAATAATCTGCTAATATATTTGCTTCTTTCTGTTTGTTATTTAATAGAATCGTTCATAAAATTCTGTATAATTCTGTATCAATTGTTTCGCTTAATTGTCTTTTCTATTTTTTCCTGTATTTTCCTGTATTTCCCTGTATTGATATATCAGTGTGCCTTACTATTTATTAATATTTATTAACGTTAATATTTATTAATATTTATTAATTCGAATATTCTTGTAAGAATCGCCACGAACATGTACGTACGTACATACTCATTGTTATAAGTAATGTATTAATGTCGTACTGTGAAAAGAAAAGCAATTCTTTTCGTTATAAGTACTTCACTCTCCTGAATTTATCGCCCTCTGTAATACTTTCAAAATCCTGCATCTTTTATTTTATGCATTACGATAAACTGCACACCCTACTAATAAAGGTACATAGACTTAAATTCTGCATTCGGTTATATTCCTGCATACTTACCATATTCTATCATTCCATCTTTCAATTTTTGAAGGAGAAATTCTTAGACTGCCTTATTGATTGGTTTCTGTTGATGTTTAGTAATGATATACCAATTCGAGATATATATGTACGTACGTACCAAAATAATCCGAATCCAATCAAGGGATCTTGGAAATTTCTCTTAAAATTTGAAAAAAGGAGGCGTGCAGTACTTGTTATTCATGATAAAATATGGTATATGCATTTGCTTATTTGAATGATCAATTGACTAATCAATTTAGTAAAAAAGAAAACAAAACCATATCTGATATTGTACATTTAAATTCGATTAGGGATGCTAATTGTCCTTTTAGACAAATCGTTAGTCGATCAATTTGTGATCAGTCCAATCATGTAAAACAAAATAAAAATGTAATTTTGCTTACGTGTACTTTGTACGTATACAACTATCTAAGCATAATGTTACTTGAATAAGTAACACGTCTATTTTTTAATACATCACACAGAGTGACAATTTACTAACAATAACAATAATGTTAAATTGTAATGGAAGGCATAATCAAGTAAAAACTTGACACTCAAATATTTGATCAAAGCCAACATTCGTAGATCAAATCATATTTATATATAATTGATCAAATATTTGAGTGTCAAGTTTTTACTTGATTGTGTCAAGCACGAAATGCTATATAATACAATATTAAATCATCTTCCGTACTGTACACTATTTATATTCTGATCATCATTCTTCAGCACCAATATCAACATCCTAAATGACTTTCTGATCGACTAGGATCATACGATAAATTTATGATGATTTCAATGCAAGAACATAATGATCTTGAACTCGATCATGACAAACACGAAACATCAAGTTCAAATGCATATTCTCAATAATAATGTTATACGTATTCATGACATGATTCATGATAATCTAACCCCCTCCAGTCTCGAATTTCCACTAGTCAATCAGTATCAATTCACCCTAGTTGAAATTAGACTAATCGGGCTGCGAATGTATTGAATGCATACGGGTTTTTGTCGGCATACTCCAATCAACTAGTTGAATCTTGACAGTGTTTTTGCAGATTGCTGGCAATAACCAGTACACATTTAGCACATTCAGCACATTCATCACATTCAGCAACCAGTTATTCTTAGTCCAATCGGAATGATCATTTACGGAATTTATCATATTCGACTAATGCTCATTTCAACAATCGAAAAAAATTCAGCCATCGATCGTCAAACTCACGCAAATGATGATCTGTATATCACGGACAAATCAAACAATAATCTAAAATTAATGTTTGAACTCAATACGTCTGAGAAATTTATTCATCAAATTCTTCACTCAGATTCACCCAAAATACAAACTAGAGGTGCAGGCGAATCGTCCCAAACGTGCCGTACTATATTAAATAATTATAAAAAGTTACGGCAAACATGCTGTAACTATATTAAATAATTATAAAAAGTTACAACAAACATGCCGTAACTACTGTATATTAAATAATTATAAAAAGTTACGGCAAACACGCCGTAACTTTTTATAATTATTTAATATAGTTATGGCACGTTACGGCAAAGTTACGACATCATTAGGACGATTCGCCTGCACCTCTAATACAAACTCCTGAAATCTCAAACACCTATACTGTAACAGATTCAAATAGTTTACTTTACATATTTTGATCATAACACGAAATTCCAAAATATCAAAAAATTATTCAAACATTTAACAATCTTGTAATTTTTTTTGGATAATAAATAAATTCAAAATACTTTTAATATTCAAATATCTGTCGTTTATTTTATTACAGCTGTTTTCATAATTCCTGGGACACCTGTAAAAAATTAGCCGAATGATTTTCGACCGATCCGGTTAATTTATTATTTCGGC